TGGTGGAGGGCAGGGTTTCACTTTACTGGGGCTTATATTTGGGGTAGGGCTTATATTATGAGCATCCTGAAAAATCATACTAGGGATTATTTTCAGGGTGGGCCTTATTTTATTGGAAACAGGGTAGTAAGACATAAATGAGCCTATGATTCCCTAGCATTTCCTCTCCCTCTTTTTCTTTGCAGTAATTACTTGTGAAGATGTGGATCTTTTTTCTTTCTTTACCTAAATGCTTTCCTCTCCCTCTTTCTTTGCAGTCGTTACTTGTGAAAATGTGGATCTTTTTTCTTTCTTTACCTAAAACATTTTTTGTAGATACTCACCAGATGGAAGATTAATAGTATCTTGCAGTGAAGATAAAACTGTGAAAGTCTGGGATGTTAGAAACAAGACATGCATTGACAGTATAATAGACTATGACGGGTAAGGAGTATTCACATGGGATAAAATGAGAATATTTTAGCTATTATTTTAACCAGCAGACGATCATAAAAGGAAGAAAACGTCTGATTGATTACGGAGATGTCTTATAGCTGACTGCATAGAAGCTGAGTCACTGATTCTTTTCCTTCTTGATTATGAGACTTATCCTATCTTTGTATTTACTTCAATCAGTACCATTTTTGACAGGAGACACCCCAGGAGGCCTTTCTTTCTATTATCATCCTTCTATTACTTCCTCTTGCCATGGTTGCTTCATGCACCCTAAAAGTAGCACCCAACTTACCTTGAGATGCCCCTCTCTTCGCATTGTTTTTAGGGTTGTGAGCAGAAAGAGGAAAGATTACTGGCCCCAAGACCATCAAGCTCCCTGCCTGCCCTCAAAGTGCCACCTTGAGGCCAGCTAAAGCCAGATCATAATAGTAGAAGAAAAAGTGTTCACTATTTCCCAGTCCTTATCTAAGCAAGAAGGATGGCTGTTAAATCCATTTGTTGAGCAGTATCAAGACTAGAGGCTAAAAATTCATGTTTGTGAATGTCAACCAAACATCCTTACAGTCAGGGGCAGCTTCATGGACAAAGCAGGGATGGAGTGGGCAGATACTCTCCTACTCTGTTCACAAGCTGCCTAGGTTTTGCACTATGGCTCAATAGACAGCAGAGCATCAGACTTAGCATTCTCTATGGCATAAATTCCACCACAGAATCTCTTCGCCTTTTGCATAATGGTGTGTGGCACAGTTTTCTTTGGCATGTGAGCTTGACGGGAATAAACAGATTGCCGTACACCATGGAAGAGAAATTGGAAGCATCCTGTTCATCACTGGTGGTCCTGAGGGGGCCTCTCTCCTGAGGTGCATTAAAAAGGTGTGAGATAGATACTGTTCCTATGGGAGAGCAACCTGTGGAGAGTAAAGAGCATAAAGATGACCTGTAAGAAGCACTTGGAGAGTGTAGTCTCTGGACTTGGCCGCATACTGGGAATTTGTGAGGAACTGAAAGAGAAGGCAGAGTCCTGCCACTTGAGTGTTCATGTCTCAGACTCCGCTCCCTGTTGACGGAAGAGGGACACCACCATGGTTGGTGTGTTTGTGCCTTGAGTGGTAGGTCTCTGCTTGTTTCCTAACACCACCTTACTCAAAACAGTTGCTCACTGGCAGCGACAGACCTCGCAAGAGAGATACGGATGCTGCCGCAGTTTCAGGTGCTCACTGTGTCATCATGGCTGTCCTAGCAAAAGAGCGTCACCCAGAAAACAATTTGGTTTTGGTGCAACAGACTAATCCACCCACCCACTAGCAACTGCTATCTTGCAGGAAATGTTGTGAGGATGCAATGAGATTATATTATGGAAAAGAAGTCATATTAAGAAAAGCAAGACAAATGAACTAAGATGACAAGATGGCATTGTTCCTAAATGGTGACGGATCACTGTTTTTAATTTTAACTCATAGATTTGCAAATTATGTGGACTTCAGTCCTGATGGTACTTGTATAGCTTGTGCAGGTTCTGATCACACTGTGAAGATCTGGGATATAAGAATTAACAAATTATTGCAACAACACCAAGGTAAACGTTTGTTCAGTTCAAAATAACTATATCTCTGCCTCGTAACCTCTTCAGTCTAATATAGGTTGTAATGGCTGAGAGTGTAATCCTTGATCTGAAATCCTCCAATTACAACTTTATTTTTTTTCGCAGACACAGTGGCAGCCTTATGCAAGCCATTATTCTCTTAATCTTGACTTTGACTTCCCTATCTTGATTAAGGACATTATAAACAAGCATGAATCATAGATGTGAACTAATTATGATGAAGATAATGCAAATCAGGAATTCGTACCTTTGAAACTGTTATGTGAATGCTAGCTTAAAAATTATATTTTAAAATACTTTAGCAGTTGATCTGTCACGTTTAGTAATAGAAGTTCATATAAATTATATTGCCATCCTTAAGGATTGTTGCCTTATCTTTGTTTATGTTTCTGCTTCACCATCTGAGTGATAATATAAGCTATTTAATTGGTAGGAAAAACTATCCTTCAGCCAGCATGTTAAATCTTCTTCACTAAACATGAGTTCAGCCTTCAGACTGGTCTATCGATCATTTCAGTAATGTTATGCAACTGGTTTAGAGAGGTCAAAATGCAGATGTGTTTCTTTTTTGAGAGCCATATTTATGAACATTCCTGACTTTAAGCTTTTGACATAAAGAAATTCTTTTGATATGGTGCTGACTTAAGGTTTGCTTCATTTCTCACGTTCTGTATTTTATACTATATCCCACTACTATTTTCCATTCAGAAGTCTCTTCTCACCACCCCCTTCACACAATGAAATACTGAATTGCTTCATTCAAAAGCAGTTTGAATGACATCAGGAGAAACCAGAAGTAAATAAAACATCCTTTATCAGCGGTTCCTCTGTTTTTCAGAAAATAACGCAAGCCTGTTCAGATGTCATGTCCATGGAATTCATGGATAGTGACCATGGGATTGTGATGGGAATCCTCATGCTCTAATTCGGCATGCTGGTCACAGAAAGAAAGCCCTGTGTATGTGAATTGCATTCACACAATAAATGGAATGAATACATGTTTTTTTGCTCCCCACTTGTTCCCTGGATCTATTTGAATACAGCTTTGATTCATGAAGGCTTATGCCATAATTTAGTTATTAAAGTATCAGAGGATTTTTAATGTTATCTGGAAAACATATAGGGTTAAATACAATTGCTCACTAGATTAGACCCGCAAAGTCAATGGGATTTATGTCAGTGTTAGTATAATAGACCTCAGCTATTGCAGTGGTTCTTAACCTTGGGTTACTCAGGTGTTTTTGGACTGCAACTCCCAGAAGCCATCACCACCAGCTGTGCTGGCTGGAGTTTCTGGGAGTTGCAGTTCAAAAACACTAGAGTAACCCAAGGTTAAAAACCACTAAGCTGTTGGATTTAGCCCATAATTATTAAATACGACATAAACTTAACTTTTGAGGTTGAATAAAATCTCATCACAGACTGAGGTGTTAGTCTGAATACTAAACTGATTTTTGTTTTTAAAAGTTCCTTTTTGGCTAATTTGTCTGAAATTTCAGTCATGACAGAGATTCAACTATACTGTAATTAGGGTGCACTTCATTAAAACTGATAATGTTGCTATTGTAAGCCACAAGATGGCAGCAAAATAATTTAGCTCAGTGGTTCTTAACCTTGGGTTACTCAGGTGTTTTTGGACTGCAACTCCCAGAAGCCTTCACCACCAGCTGTGCTTGCTGGGGTTTCTGGGAGTTGCAGTTCAAAAACACTAGAGTAACCCAAGGTTAAAAACCACTAAGCTGTTGGATTTAGCCCATAATTATTAAATACGACATAAACTTAACTTTTGAGGTTGAATAAAATCTCATCACAGACTGAGGTGTTAGTCTGAATACTAAACTGATTTTTGTTTTTAAAAGTTCCTTTTTGGCTAATTTGTCTGAAATTTCAGTCATGACAGAGATTCAACTATACTGTAATTAGGGTGCACTTCATTAAAACTGATAATGTTGCTATTGTAAGCCACAAGATGGCAGCAAAATAATTTAGCTCAGTGATTCTTAACCTTGGGTTACTCAGGTATTTTTGAACTGCAACTCCCAGAAACCCCAGCAAGCACAGCTGGTGGTGAAGGCTTCTGGGAGTTGCAGTCCAAAAACACCTGAGTAACCCAAGGTTAAGAACCACTGCTTTAGCTCTATATCACAAGTACATTTTATTTGTTCTTAGCAAAGATAGCTGAGCTTTGCCTAGAAAGGAAAAATGGAGTCACCTTCATAATATAATGTTTCTATACTCTGTGTTCTGACTGACTGTTACTGGGATCCAAACTTCAGCATCTCCATTTTTGGTATCCAAAGACTGCATATCCTCAGCAAGTGCTTTCCCTCTATTGGGATAAGAATCATTTCTGTCAGAAACTGAAAATGTTCCTTCTTTGCTGTTAATGCATTGGCCAGAATTCTACTGGTGTTCACATGATGTTTGAATAATATACCTGAGTTAATGGACAAGGTGATGGCTAGCACCATGGTGATGGCCACCCTTAGAGAGGCCTGGAAAACTACCACCAGGAACTGAGCCTTCTTGGTGGTGGCCGCACCATATGGAATGTGTTACCTGCAGATATATCCCCAGCTCCCTCCCTTCTGACCTTCAGCAAATGGATAAAAACTATATTGTTTGAAGAGGCCTTCAGAAACATCTTACCCCTTTGACATCCTCAGGAACCCATGAATTAGTTATTAATTTTTATTGGCCCTCTAGGCTTATCTAATATTCTGGGTTATTAATATTTTGTCTACATCTCATTATGTCCTTGTGGGCTGAGGTGGGTCAGTCTTTTTAACTGCTATTAGTTGCCCAGAGTAGCACTTAGGCACTGTATGTATGTATGTATGTATGTATGTATGTATGTATGTATGTATGTATGTATGTATGTATGTATGTATGTATGTATGTATCAATCAATCAATCAATCAATCAATCAATCAATCAATCAATCAATCAATCAATCAATCAATCACCATGCCTGGTTACACAGATATATAGATAGCTATATACAGAGATAGATGGCACAATCAAGATACACTCCTAGCACTTCCTGCAGTTATCTGTGGCAAGTTATGCAGACCTTATACAAAGACTGCAAGGATTCCAGCCAGCATGCAGTGTTATGTTCTATCTTTTGGTGAAAGGAGAATCACCAAGAAGATATAATTTTCATATTCCTCAATTATTGCTACTGATTTCCCCTTTTCGTCTCAGGCTTTATATCTTCATCTGCAGTGATGTCATCACATTCTCACTTCCATGTTTTAAAATATTATTTGATTATGTACAGTGGTGCCTCGCATTACGACGTTAATTTGTTCCAGTGAAATTGCTGTAGAACAAAAACGTAAAGCAAAACTAAAAAAGCCATTGAAATGCAATAAACCTGGTTAATGCATTCCAGTCGGCTAAGAACTCACCGTCCAGCGAAGATCCTCCATAGGGTCAGCCATTTTCGGGTGCCTATGCAGCGAAAAATGGCTCCTAAACACAGCAGGGAGCCATTTTGAGCACCCGGCGGCCGTTTTGAAAACCTGACGATCAGCTGCTTTGATCGTCAGGAAGCAAAATTCGGTTCCCGAAACAGGGAACCGATCATCGTGCAGCGAAATTCCCCCATTCAAAAGGTTTTGCGATCGCTTTTGTGATCGCAAAAACCTCATTGTAATGTGGATTCGTCATTAAACGGAGCGCCCGTCTTGCGAGGCACCACTGTATTTCAGTCAGTAGAAAAATGCAGTTGTTTGTTAATACCATTACGTATGTATTTCTGCATACTTATTGTGGAACTTGGGGGATGGACATACAGAGTAGATCCCAGGATTCCTAAGCAATGTTTAGTTAACAGTGTCTGACACTACACTGTCTGAAATCAAGTTGTGTAAAGTTACAGCATGTAGGAATGATGACATCATCAGTCACAGTCATATTTAGAGAGTTAAAAGTTTCTGATTCCGGTTCCCTTGGGAAACCCTCCATTCTGGAGAAACCTTTGGGAGCTGATGGACTCAGAAGAAAGTCTCTGGGTCGCAAAAATTGTTGTTGCTGGCCCCCAAAGGCTTTCTAAGGAATCTTGAGGTGGGGGAATTGAAAACTTTTAACTCCCCAGAAATGGCTGTGGCTGCGGATATCTTCAGGCCTATGTAGCTTAACTTTATGCATCTGGCTTTCAGTTACTGAATTTGTAATTTTCCAAAGCAGAAACTGTCTGATGTCCTGGCTTATTATTTCTAAGCACTACTGTATGTAGGAGATGTTGTTCTAGTCATAAACCATTAGGTTAATAAAAAGATGTAATGTTGGAGAACCCAGAAGGCAGTTTATTTGAACTTGCGGCAGTGGGCACATAGACAGAACTGCAAATAAAAATAAAGCCAGAACTACTGCTGCAGAAGAAAAAGATAGGCAGTTGAAAGGAGATGAAGTGGCAATTTAGGGACAAAACAATGGCGGGAGTTCAAAATAAATAAATAAATAATCTTGGAACTGCAGAGTTGGAAGGGACCTTATGGACAATCAAGTCTAGCCTCTGTCAAAGTCTAGCCATTGGGGAATTGAAGTCCCAACCTCTGGCTTTGCAGTCAGATTACTAAACCGCTGAGCTATCCAGAAGTTCAATAGTTAGAGAATCATTCAGGATGTAGGCATTCTTCAGTCTTAGGAGACTATGGTAAAGTGCTCTGAATAGAGGTCTTGGAACAATGTCTAGTGTGGCTGAGGAGGCCAATTTGAGAGTGACAATCCTTTCCATACTGAAGACAAATACAATCTGTCCCCTGTCCAGATCCCTGATTTTGTTGGTTTCCAGACTGCTTTACCTTGGCCTGCTGAACAAGTGTCTCTTCAAATTGGGAGAGGCCATGCTCCAGGCTGAACGCTCAGATGTCAAGGTTTCCCATCTGTTGAGGTCCATTCCTAAGGCCTTCAGACCCCGCTTGCAGATGTCCTTGTATCGCAGCTGTGGTCTCCCTCTAGGGCACTTTCCCTGTACTAATTCTCCATACAGGAGATCTTTTGGAATTTGCCCATCAGCCATTCTCATGACATGCCCAAGCCCACGTAGTCGCTGTTTCAGAAATCTATATATGCTCAAAATTCCAGCTTGTTCTAGGACTACTCTATTTGGAACTTTGTCCTGCCAGGTGATACCAAAAATGTATCAGAGACAACGCATATGCAACATGTTCAGCTTCCTCTCCTGCCGTGCAGAAAGGGTCCAGGACTCACTGCAGTGCAGGATTGTATTCAGGACACAGAATAGACCTGCATCATGGTATATGCCATCAGCTTATTTAGCCATATTCTCTTTGTGAGTCTAGAAAATCATTTGGGATATAGTTATAAACTAAAACAAAAGTATGACGTGTTTTTAATTGGCTTTTAGCTATAATTCTATGCAGATTCATCTGAGAGTAATCCCCACTGAAATAAGTGAAACACTTCTGAAAACACTATTTAGGATTGTGCTATTAATCCATGAAGACTTTGACTCCAGAGTTTCCGTCAGTATCTGAACTATTTTTAATTTAATTAGTTCACAGAGCTGGTGTTAATTGCACATCTTTCCATCCTTCTGGTAACTATCTCATCACTGCCTCTGATGATGGTACCCTTAAGATTATGGATCTTTTAGGAGGAAGACTTCTATATACACTTCATGGGCATGAGGTAACATGTTCTTAACTTTTTTTAAAGGGATACTCTGCATAGGAAAATACAAATTTACCATAACACAGAGAGTGTAATGTGAGTATATGCATAAGTTGTTCTATGAGTATACCTACTGAGCAAATGCAGTAGTCATAAAGCATCCTAGTTGGTGTATTTGCAGCATTAATAAACATTTCCATCATTACTCCACCTATTACGATAAAACCAACAATTCCTTCTACAATTAAGAGAAGTAGACTAAACTGAAGTGAGATGATTTCCTACAAAAGAGATACTAGTAGGTAAAATGATCCTGTATGTGTAACAGTTTTGTATATAAAGTGTGTATAAGGGGGTGTGATTTGATACGAACATATTTATCTCACTCCCACATCTCTGCAATCTTACTAAGTATTACTAAGTGAGGGTAGTATTAGAGTTAGATGAACATATTTATCTCAGTCCCACATCTCTGCAATCTTACTAAGTGAGGGTAGTATTAGAGTTAGAGAACTCTGGAGGAAAGAAAGTTGAATGAATGTGACAAGTTCTGTATTTTTGCTTAATGGGAGACAAAAAATGAACTAAATTGTTAATCCTAACTAATGAACCACTGAATGAATGGGATGTGTTAAATCCATACTTACAAAGTCTCATTAATTTACGAATCCATTCTAGTTGGGACTGACAGTTAGATTGAGCTCTATGTGAGAGCTACTGAATGATTTATTAACCGTCTGTTTTATCATTTTCAACTAGGGGCCAGTCCTCTCTGTAGCCTTTTCAAAAGGTGGGGAAACATTTGCCTCTGGTGGTTCAGATGCACAGGTTTGTCAGCAACATTGAATTCTTAACATAAAACCACAATATTTATTAAGTGCTATAAACAAAGAAGGCTCTCCTGTGTTTGTTAAAAGTTCTTCAAAGATCTTGTTTAAATGTATTGTTATTTGAGCCTCTCTCTTTTCCATTCTCTCTTCTTTTGTTTGCCCTTAAGTTTGAGAGTTGTTGCCTGGAAAGCCTTTGTAGTCAAATGATTTAGGATGCCTTTGCCCTCAAGTTTGAGAGTTGTTCCTGGAAATCCTTTGTAGTCAAATGATTTAGGATGCCTTCTTGTTTTAAAAAACACAGGGCAATTGATGGAGTCTCTCATTGCCAGATAAAGGGACTATTTTTTAAAAAAGTGAGTTAAACATTAGTAAACATTCATGGCTTATATGACTTTTTGCAGGTACTGTTGTGGAAAACAAATTTTGATGCATTAGAATATAAAAAACTTCTTAAAGAACACATGCGAAGAATACATACGGATGAGCCTCCTCACCTTCTTGATATTTACCCTCGATCACCCCATCGGCATAATGCAAAATCACAGTCTGTTGAGGTAAATAATTATGGCTTCTCATATTTAACTAGCTTCAGATTAAAGAAGGGTCTACAGATGGGACCAAAAAAAAGCACTGCAGCATGGAGAACTCTTGTGCAGCATTCAAAACACAGCTGAAAAATCTTCTAATTTTGGTTTACATTGTTAACCTGTGGTAAATGTGTTTCTACAGGGAAATAGCTCTTTCAAAGTGTGAGTCAGTCATAAGAATGAAATAATCCTCAGAAGAATTGGCAGGCAGGCAGGGTGAAGCCCAAAGCATTTGGGAAACACAAAGACAAGGAATACTATCTCATACAGTTAGCAATTTCTTCTCAACAACACTGAATACTGGTGGATAACCATTTAATCTGTTCATTTTTAAAATGTATTTTCAACGCGGCACACAGACTATTTTTACATGCTGCTGTGTGAAGGACAGTTTGAAAGATAATTGATAGTCCACAGCAAAGTTCCCATTAGGCTGTGTGTGCATGACTCCACTTCCCTCCACGCAGCTGTCTTTCTCCTGTGTGTGAGGTTCCTGTTGCGATGGAACCCAGCGTGTGGGAGTCACACATGCAGGGGTGGAGTCGCGAGAGAGGCGGGGCTCCACCCAGCAGGGCTGAAAATTAGAGGGCAATTTGTTAAGGCAGTTTATATCACGTTAAGGTTGCCCCATTATTCAGTATATTATACTGTGTTCATTCATTATAGCTATTCATGCTTTTTTCATATTCACTTTAATTGAATCTTATTTTTCCCCCAGCAGATATTCTAATGTGCACTAGAGGGCACTACAATTTAAGCTTTTAAATTTACAGTAGAAACTAGCCAAATGTCAAATCAGATTTTCAGGTTGACTACAGTTTTAAGTGTTAGAAGTGACCTGTCTCACTATACTTTCTGTCTTGTCTGCACAATAAATGTGATGGACTTGGATAAGAAATAGTTTTGCAGGAAAAACTAATGACCATCCTAGAAAGTAAATATTACAGTTTTGTTAAATTGTTTTAATAATGCTCAAATGGAAGTGGGATGGAAAGCTTTGGCTCAGGAGTTGTTAAACGGGTATACAGCTTGAAAGCTTCAGCTGGAGTACAATGCCAGTGCAGTGACCATTCCTGACAGGACAGTAGGAACACATTACCTTTATTGGCATTATCTACTTCAGTGCATTAGCTACTTTGATCCCACTTCTGCCTCAAATCGCATCAATTACATTGGCCAAAATCCTGTAGCGTATGTCAGTGGTTCTTAACCTTTGTTACTTGGATGCTTTTGAACTGCAACTCCCAGAAACCTCAGTCAGGACAGCTGGTGGTGAAGGCTTCTGGGAGTTGCAGTCCAAAACTCCTGAGTAAGCCAGGGTTAAGAACCAGTGGCGTACGTTATGCCCATGTAAGGGCATAACTGGCACAGAGAGGTTTTTGTTGTTGTTGTGCTATGTCAAGTCAGAACTAGTGTATAGTGACCTTAATAGGGTTTTTGAGGTAAGTGAAGCATTTAAAGAGTGATTTTACAGTTCTGGTTCTAGTTTCCAGTAAGTGTTCATGGCACAGCCAGGGAATTGAACCCAGATTTCCTGAGTCCTAGTCCTTTAATTTATCTACTACAGCACACTGGATGTGCCAGCAAGACATTGTCGGTAATTAAAGAGTTTCTGCTTTGAATCTCTCACAATCAGTTTTGTTGCAGGAACTCTTTAATTATTGGCAATTTCCTGTCAATAACATCATCCAGAAAGAGGAGATTGCTAGTAAATAAGAAGTTCCTCCTTCAATCCTGGGGCTTCTCTGACTTGTGCACAATGAAATTGATTGTGAGCAAGTCATGTGAGCCCTGAAATTGAGGGAAGAACTCTCTGATTACCAGCAATATCTGCCTGCTGGTGACATGATCACTATGTGGGATTGAATCTGGGTTATAAGCAGTGCTTTGGCTGCAGTACTGCCACAAAGCTCTTAGGATAGGCAAAGTGCAATTCTCCCATTGTTGGTGGGTTGTAACCATCAGTGTTCCTCAGCATGGCTATGCTAGTGAGGTCTTGTGGGAGTTGTCATCTTAATAATATCTGAAGTTCCATGCTTTACCCATTCCTCCCTTATCTGTTGAGATGTCTTTGTCCCATCCACAAAAGGAGATAAAATAGTTACAAGTTAGAGTTTGGCTTTCTAAGCACTTGTCCCCTTGTTAAATAATTCATTCCTTAAAGACGTCCTGATATTCAAACTTTTATTCCACTAAGGTTTTTAAAGGTTTTAATGGAGCAGAGGGATGTTTTAACACCATGATGTTGACGGTGACTGATCTGCTTGCCTTTAGATTTAGCTGAGGAGGTAGCCTGACTTTTAAAGTTAATAATTTAGAGATACTTCAGAGAGATTTGTTTCTGCTCTAGATGTGGCATTAAGTCTCCCATTCTTCCATGAGCTTCACTGAACATCACTTGGCCTACTTTTCCTGGCATTTCTTAAGATGGGCTCGACCCAGTTGATTTGCATGTCTGTAAATTATCCCTAAATGTCGACCAGTCTAGGACCAAAATAATTTTTTTCCAGTTCATCATTGCCACCGCCAGAATTCCTAGATTTTGCACTCACTCTTGTTATGAGACCACTGCTACTACTATTCAGCATTTGTGTATAAGGCTTTAACATTTTAAAACAGAGTACTGTAAAACATGACTTTTAAATAATAGTTGCCCATGTATCTTGAGAAGAAACCCAATTTTCTTCTCAAGACAAATGGGCAAAGCTAGGGAGCAAATATGTGTATCGGTTCTACCAAATGACTACTAATGTATCTTCCTGGAAGTGTTTATTTACTAATTAGCTAAGAGGATGATTGTCTTACTCCAGGTATTCTTTGAAAGTTCAGTGCTTGTGTCCTTTTCTAATAACAACCTCAACCTGATTTTCAACAGATAAATCCCAGCTATGATGTAACAGACATGCAAACATTTGATCCACCTGTTGTAGACATTAGCTCCGTGGCTTCTGTTTCTTCAATATCTTCAGTAAGTTTTTCAGGAAAATGTTAAACTATATGTAAGATGTATATTAGCAATGTTTGCTTTATTCAGGATACAGTAATTAAAAATTCTGTATGAAACTTGGATTTTATGGACAAGCATACTTGCACAACTTTTTTCTCTGACAGCTTATTTCTGTAACTTCATCAAAATTAGAGAAGAAGTCCTGTGTTCATAAGTACATGGTACATTAATCCAGAAGGCTGTACCTGTATTTTTTTAATTCAGTGGTTTTCTTCATCTGCTTTCATACATATTTTACTTTTGAGTACTGTATTATTTTGTTGTTGTTTCAACTTATATACTATGCTTGAGCACTCTCTGGGTAGTTTACAACACAATTGCGTAAGGAACACTTTTACCCCCAGTGAACTGTGTACTCATTTTACTGAGCTTGGAAGGATGGAAGGCTGAGTCAGCCTTGAGCAGGCTACCTGAATCTGTTGGGATTGAATTCAGGTTGTGGGCAGAGACTTGATTGCAATATTGCAGTTTAACCACTGTGCCACAGATGTCGCCTAAGTAGCTTTCAGATTTTTTTTAAAAAAAAACATTTTTCGATTCTAGAATCATTGTGTATGAGATTGTTTATTTATTTAAACTGTTCATTTCTTTTCTGTCCACCAGGGCTCTAACGTAATGTACAACAAACAAATTAAAATGACTAAAAACAGATTAAAATGTTAACATGGGTCTCCTTAGGCAAAAGATCAACATACAAAATGAAATAAATTTAAAAAAATTAAAACAAGTTAAATATATTTCATCAAAGCAAATTTCAAAGATTCTCTGGAAGTCCATTTTAAAAGCAGTCTTACGGATTAAAATCCTTTTAGAACAATATAGATCCACTTGGTCACTGGGAGTAAGCAAGAATGGAGTCAGCCTTACTTTCCTTGAGGAGTTGCATAACTGATATGTTGCTTCAGAAAAAGCGCTGTCTCCTGTGTCAATACATGAAGTATCATTTTTCAGACTGTTCATGTAATCAAGTCATATGGGCAATGTTTAGCCCTATTCAGCTATTTCATTTTTCTCGCCAACCTTAGAGAGTAGCAGTCCCCTCTGTTCCCTTTTATTAACACTTCTACATTCGATTAACTGTGACTCTAAAGAGAAGGTCCCGCTCATGTGCAGTTTTGAAAACTACAGTTCTTGCTCATGTAAACAAACAGCAGTCTCTCCTATTCAGGCTCACCATCACTCAAGTGAACAAAGCATCAATGGAGGAGCAAAGTATGTTCAGGAAACTGAATTCTGTAATGCTTGAATAGAACTTTTAGCTACATATACATCCTCTCCGCTTTCTGGATGATGCAGAAATACTTCAGTCCCTCATTATGGAGCACAAGCTCTTTTGAATAAGAGCTGTATAAATCATCAGCTTCAAGATTCTCCTAGTCACCAAGATTCCTCAACTTTTTACATTGAAAATAATTCTAAGATAGAACTTTTGCCTTTCCCATGTTGCAAATAATCATCAAAATTCCTGCACCTCATATAGGGTTAATAGATTTTATGTGCTTCCTTACTTCAGCAAATTTTCTTCTAAGGCATCTAAATTACTCATGAGCGTGTCAAATGTGCATATGCCATCTTCTTCATTAATCTGCCCTTACAGCAGCTACTAATTCAATAATTGTGGAAAGTACTGCTCTAGCTAATTATTTGTACTTTCCAATGCAGTCCAATACAAAGAGGAGTGTTTGGAGTTCTGCATTGGAGAAACCAAACAGCCACTAAACAGGAGAATGGCCCAGTACATGAGGGACAATGGCTCAGGACCACAATCAGTAGTGTTCTTTCATTTGAAGGACAAAGGACACTCATTTGATGACCAAGATGTACTCATTTTGGATAGAGAAAATAGGTGGCTTGAGAGAAGGGAAGCCATACATGTGCATATAAAAAATTCCTTATTCAACAGGGGTGGAGGCCTTAGATACAATCTATCTCCTATTTATCATGCTGCCCTTTCATCAGTCCCCAGAAAGATTAGGACCACACACACACTAGAAAGACAACTGTCAAAGACTGTTAACAACCCATGATAGTAGGTGGAGAAAGACTGCAGAAGTGGGATTATCCCTCACCCCCAGTCCTTTGTCCTTCTCAGAGCCTATTCAGACCAGGGGAAAGTGAAATGAACATGGAGGATAGATCAGGGATCTCCTACAAGCTCTACTCAGACTGAAGAATCTACTTGGATGAGTAACTCAGACTGAAGAATCTACTTGATGAGTAGTGAAATGTTTCAACCTAAGAAGAAAGAAGTCCAGTTGCCAAGACTCAACTTCAAGATTCCTTTCTAATGTTTGTGCTTCTCAAGATCAGAGACTGCACACACTGATATCTAAAATATTGGGATATTATTAACCCTCTTCCATTGCCCAGTTTACTACTTGTACGTAGCTGTAGCAGCAATCACAAAATGGGCCCCAGCCTTGCCATATGGGCTGTAAAAATAGTTGTGTGATCCAGAAAGCAGGAAAAAAGAAAGTAAGTAATTGGTCTTGAGCAGGCAACTCATTTTGATCCCCCTTCTACTAAAACTAGCTTATGTGCCAATTCTCCTGTTCTTATCTCTCCCTTCTATTAACTACTCTGCACAGTTAAAAATGAAACAACCCTCTTTTCTGAGGTTTTTATTATTCTTGAGTTCGTAGCCTGTGAAAGTGTTATCCTCCGAAGTAAAGGCTTTAGCTATTGTTGTCCTAGTTCAATGAATTTTAAGAAGGAATTGCTCTACTTTCCCAGGTGAGATTCCAGAATTGTTCTGTATACTTCCAAGGAGAAAGAATGTTTTCTTGACAAAATGTGTCACTTTGAAAAGACAACTAATAGGTTCGTATGTGTTAGCTGTAACTTGTCCTCCTATCCCTCTAGCACTTGTTTACTGTTCTAATTCCAGCGCTTCTGCAAGCAGAAATTAGGAAATAGCAGTTTGAAATCAATTAATAATGTGTAGCACTGTGTCCATTGATAGTCTTTGCAAGATGCTTTGTGTTCATGAGGGATTGCTTTGTGATACTGCATCAGGCATAGACATTCAAGGCCTTCTTTCTTTGTAATGTCATCTGATCTTTTACTTGTGACCTCTGACCTCATGACTCCAGCACCAGTTCCGTCCTCAACACCTTTCTGTTTTGCTTCCCATATTTCTGGGAATCCAAGCTGCCACCATCATCGCCCAGCTGATTCTGAAGCATGCATAAAATGCCTCACAGCCATCAGCTCTCACATCCACTAACAACTGGTTCCTTCCTCTTCTTATGGAAAAGCAACATTATCAGAATGCTGGGCTCTGAGGAACGCAGAGACAGCCTTTCACACAGGAAATTACTACTCCAGCGCTCTCAGAGAGTGCTTCTGTCACTCGGACTGTCTGCCCATAATGAGCTTCCTGCTGACCTACAAGATGATTTACTACAGCTCTAAATGCCTGTGCCAGCCAGTAAGCATAACGGCAGCTAATGAAGCTGGCAATCAGCAGTTCTGTAAATCTGTAACTGCCCTGTTTTTAAACTTGAATGTGATATGTCCATGTATATTTCACTGACCTTTTACATACTCCCTCAAGTACCATTGGTCAGTGAACTGTGCAGAGTTTACAAAGGGGAAAATACTCGTGCAAATCACTGGCTCATTTACAGATACTTCTTTCTTTCTTATGTAAATAGATCACTGCCATGCAAATATTTTCCTTTAAGATTTTAAGACATTTACAGGTAGCCTAGACAGCTGGCCCACTGAAAGGAAACACAGAAACTTCAGCCTACCATCTTGATGCACTTGATGGGTTCTGACCTGAAGCCAAAAGCCTGCAGGATACTCCCTTCGTTAGCTACATTAGAAATCCATAGGGACCTGTGACAGCAGCATGGTATCCAATTCATGCAGAGTATGAGAGTGGCACAGCCTTGCAAATGGAGGATAACTATATATCCACAAGAGGAATGTTCACAGCCTCCAAAGAATTTTTTAAAATTTAATATCGTAAGATGGAGCTAAGTAAAAATCAATCAATCAATAAAATCCAATACCAGTGCCTATGACTGTTGTTGTTTAGTCCTTAAGTCATGTCCTACTCTTTGTGACCCCATGGACCAGAGCTCTCCAGGCCTTCCTATCTTCCACTCCCTCCCGAAGTTTTGTCAAATTCTTGTTGGTAGCTTCGGTGACACTGTCCAGCCATCTCATCCTCTGATGTCCCCTTCTCCTCTTCCCTTCACACTTTCCCAACATCAGGGTCTTTTCCAGGGAGTCTTCTCTTCTCATGAGATGGCCAAAGTATTGGAGCCTCAGCTTCAGGATCTGTCCTTCCAGTGAGCACTCAGGGTAGATTTCCTTCAGAATGGATCAGTTTTTTCTCTTTACAGTCCAGGGGACTTTCAGGAGCCTCCTCCAGCACCACAATTCAAAAGCATCAATTTTTCGGCAGTCAATTCTTCTTTATGGTCCAACTCTCACTTCCATACATCGCACTTACTCAGTCATTATTTGACATTCGTTTTCTAATACTATATGTGCGCAGTCAGATTTTAAACAGCAGAGGCAACAGCAATGAATATACTGGCTAGAGGCACATATGTTCTTAGCACGTGTTCTGGTCAGATCTACGCACATTAACAGAAGGATCATATGAGAAAATTGTTTATCCCCAATATATAATGTTTACTCCCAGGAAAGTGTGCTTAGAACTGTGTCCTGATTCTCATAAACTGCTGTTAAAGTAAAATAATAAATATGTGCTTAAAACTCATCCATTGTAATCAGTGACACTTTAAACTCTTGGTTGGCCATTATACTGTCAATGCAGACTTCACAGATTGTGCATAGTAAATGAACGGAAGAGGAATGAACTTATTTAAAGAAAAACAGTTGTGTCAAAATATCTTAGAAGCATGCTTGAGAGGCTCCCCCTTTGGCAGTATCTGCATTTTGAACTTACTCTGAGTTATTGAGTTGTTGATATTTTGGATTAT